ATGTGAGCTCGTTTTAGACTGGGGAACTCAGGCCAGTTGCAGGAGCTGGGATCCAGCATAAAACGAAAATAATCTGCTGTGGGAGGCAGGTAAGGAGTCAGCCAGGGGTCATCTATGTCATGCTGATTGCAACAGGCAGTGTTCTCCAGGGGGTTACTGCCTGGTGTGTGGATGTAGCTCCCAACACCTGCCTCTGCTTGCATGAGAGGCAATGGGGATGCCAACTCCCTCATAAGCATGGAGGTCTGGGATAGATAGATGGATGGACGGGCGGAGTGAGGCTGTTGCCACAAGCAGACTGTTATCTGGGAGCCTGTGCATCCCAGAGGAGCAGAACTCACTTCTAGGAGACACCTCTTACCCCATCCAGCCTGTGGAGAATGGCCATGTCTGTGCCCCAGGTGCTGCTGACACAGCCTGCCTGCTGCAAGTGGCCTGTGTCAGGATGACCTGTGTTTTCCATCATACTCTTCCCTGTGGCCCTGTTTGCTGGAGCAGTGTCGCTTCCAGGTGCTGCCCTTCTTGGGAATCCTGCTGCTGCCGTGGGCCTGAACGGGCCAGGCGGGTTCCCTCCGCTCCGGCCTTCAGCGCTTCCTCGTCTGTCCCCTGGGAACAGGCTGTCTGGCTGTGCTACAAATGAACATCCACCTATTGTGTCCATACAGGGACTGACTGCAGCACCTTCCTGGGCCGGGAGACCCAGACTCCTGGCAGGACAGCTGGGCTGAGCTGCCGCAGCCCCGTTCCTCGCACCAGGAATCCCTCAGTGCTCCCGCCGGTGACTCCCGGCCCTGCCCTTGCCCAGCCCTGGCACCACAGCTCTTCCCCAGCCTTCCTCACACCTTTGGCTGTGGGTTCTTTCCTCTCCAGTCCCCGTGGGGTGATGGATGAGTTGTGGTCCCACAAATCTCCTGTCATTCCAGCCACTCTTGTAACAAGCTCCTTCTCCCGGCCTGCATTTCACGCGTATCTGTAACAATCCTGCCATGAAAAGAGGGGTGAATGAAATTCTCCTTGAATGTCCTTAGTTGTGGACACTGTGGTTTGTTCTCCCACCCTGAAAACACCATTTGTAGTTATATTTGTAGTGTTATTCCTCCAAAGGAATAATATTTTGCATCCAGCAGGACTGCACATCTAAAAACCACATAGATGGTTTGGAATGGATTTTGCTAACCTGATGTAAGGGCTGAGTGATTGTCTTCATTTCAGTTGAGATGCATTGATTTCAGCTTAGTTTATGTTGATTATGATCAGAGTTCAGATAAATCAAGTTAATTGCTCTCTTAAACCTGAATAGGAGTTTTCTCCACTGCCTTTAAATGAGTTGAAAATTATATTTGAAGTTGAACCAGTATACTTGTTTGTACAAGCCCTCTCCAAGGAGGTCTGCTTTGTTGCAGACTGTTCTGTAAAGCACCAGTAGTCCTGGAATTTCTCTCACGTGCATTTCAGATGTGGGACTTTCTCATTTTTATTCGCTTTTTGTAATTCAAAACACTACTTCCTTCCCCTCCTCTCAACTGCATAAGCTGTGTCAATAAGTTACACTATCCCACCACATTGTGTACTTTAGTTGGCAAGCTATCCTGGAAAAACATTCCATGTAGTTACAAGCAGATGCACAAGAACATTTTATTTTACTTCCTCTGACTACATCTGAAGGGTCACTTGCTGCCTCCTCTGGGGCGGGTACATCACACACTCACTGCCTGGTGGGTGGGTATTTGTTTTTTGTGGTCTGGGTTAGTTACCTCACCTGGGTGATGGCACAGAGTTGGTCCTGCAGTTCCTTTTCCCGGCCTCTCGTGCAGCCCCCATGGCAGGGGAGCTGGCAGCATCTTGCTGCTGAGAGCAGGTGCTCCCCTGCCCTCATCATCAACCCGGGGGTAAAGTCACAGAGATTGCCTGGAGCTGGGCTTTTTGAGTGGGGAAGAGAGCTGAGAGATGCCCTGTGTGGGGAAACTCCTGCAGCAGCAGTGGAGAAACCTGATGGAAAACAGTTCTTAGGGTGTTTTGGGGTTTTTTGTCTGTTTGTTTTTTTTTTGTTTGTTTGCTTGCTTGTTTTCAGCAATAGGTGCAACATAAATAAATTAAACTCTTTTTCTAGGTTTTCATTTCAGCCTTGGAACAGAATTCTTTTCCCAAATAAGTTTTTATACAACCTAGCCTAACATGGGTGGTACAAAGTGAGTCCCATGGTGGGGGTTCCTGCCTGGGTGCCTGTTGGAAGCAGAAAGAGACACTCACAGGGCTGCTGAGGGGTGGGTGTAGGGCTGTAGGGCATAGGTGGCACCTACTGTGGCTCTTGTCTCAGTGTCTTGAGAGCTGCAGCTGTGCTGGAGGTGGGTGATACGTCCAAAGGGTTGGCATCCCTGGCTGCTGTGAGCTGCCAGCTGTCGATGGAGTGTCTCCACCTTCCCTTAATGCCCCGCAGGGTGCTGAGAGGGCTGAGAAAGCACCAAGCACGTAGAGCAGGATCCAGTTATGCTGCAGGCATTAAAGTTATTGTTAGCATCACGGGCAGTATAAAAGGAAAACAAACAGTGAAAAAAATCCAAAGTTCTTCTCAAGCGGAAAAAAATAAAGTTACGGACTTAACAATCTCCTTCAGGAACAATGGATCATCACTGGATAGATGAGTATTGGGCTATCAAGATGAAATGGTGAGCACGGGAGATGAAAGATAACCTGGGAAATAAGTTGAAGGAAGACAGTGTACAGAGCAAAAAGATCCCTTCTGTATTTGTTTTCAAGATAAGGTGCAGGTGGTGGAATATAACACACTGGCATGTACAGGATCTGGTACCTGAGAGGAGTTGGCAGGGCTTGACATCTTGTTTTCTTTCCCTGAAGCAGATTCCCATGACTCTGCTGCAAGGTAGATTTCAGCAGCCAGCACTATGTTTGCACAGAGACATCCCCTTGGTGGGCAGGCAGGGTGTTCAGTGCTAGCACTGCAAAGAGACATCTGTTACCATGAAGGGTCAGCTGCAGCCTTGATGGTAAAAGCTCCACACTGGAGCTAATTGTTCATTAATCCTGGCAGAGCTAATGTGAGAACACTCCTCTGCCAGCTGCAGCCCAGTGGCATCTTCTTTTCAGCAGCTCTGCTGTATTCTTTACTAGGTTGTATCAATCAGCAAACTCTCATTTTCAAAACCACCTTTGAGTTGGTATGAGGAAAAGCTTCACTCACCAGCCTGTCTTTTCAATAGGCTTGGGCGCCCTGACGGACAAACAGCAAGGTCAAACTTGTTATCAAAGAAAGCTTTCTCTTTGTGGTACAGGAGATATTTGGCTACAAACCCCAAGGCTGGCGGAGGGTCCTGTGCATTGCTGGGTACATCTTGTCCTGTGGAGCTTTGCTGCTGCTGTTTTACTGGAAGCCAGAGTGGGACGTGTGGGCAAACTGCACCCGCTGCAGCTTGGAAGAAGCAGACATTGTTCTGCTCCGAACAACAGTAGGTGACCCTCCCAGCTGACTGGCATTTGCAGAATGTGTCTTCTTCACAGATGAGGCAGCCTGTCTGTCTTTGCAAGATGCAGTAGGTTATTAACACTTTCCACTTCTGGAAGGGGAGTGGCAGGGTCAAGTCAAGCTTCAGAGGACCAACCATTTTCAGAGTTTGAAATACTGCATAAAAGCCCATGTTGACACTAAAATCTGAAGGCTGGGCACCAAGGAGTCTTCAGGCATTGCTGCTGTCCATCCACAGGCTCCAGCAGCTGCTCTCTGCCCAGAACATGCTCCATGAAACAGCTCTGTCTCTTCCCTTCTGCTACAGGCATTGGGTACAGCCAACTAGCTTCAGGGGAGGGATCATCTCCAGAAGTTGTGGCTGTTAGTAGCCTTTCTGTTTTAAAGTGACTATGGAATGCTGAGACAATGAGTTTTAGAGAGTTAGATTTTAGGTATCAATTATATTCTAAGAATCCATTACTATTCTAGCAGAGCAAATGTGTAAGATACTAAATGCCCAACATGGCAATGATATTGTTAAAATAAATGCACTCAAACCACTATGTGAGTAATCTATTGCTTATTGTAATTAGTTATATTGAACTAAACCAATTAAAAGACAATTGAGTGTGCATCTGCAGCAGTACAGCTGAGTTGCTTTTGGCTGTGGATGTGTAACAAGTAACAGAGAGTTGGAGAAGTTTTGTAGAAAAAAATACCTAGTGCTGAGAACTCAGTGCCCCCACCAAAAGTATTTCAGAAGGCTTTTACTTCCAACTAGCTCTAATCTGATCCCATAGATGAAAAATGCATCCAGTAGCTGTTGAAGCACTTCTTCTGGTTTAGTTTCATATTTGAAATTGCTTTGTGGCATGAAACAAAGCAAAAGTAGGTAACTGTGAGATTTCCTTCCAAGTGCTTTGTGACCAGTACTAGAACACTGATACCAAAATCCCTGTTACTGTGGGCTTACATTTGCTTTGACTGCAAGGATGCCACAATACTGTAGTTCTCTGGGAATCTCACATAGACTTCCCAGAGTCAGGAAACATTATCACAGACAACATTTTGGACTTATCACTGTACTGTGCTCAATTTCTCTAGGATGAGTTTCAGAGATATACCTGGAAGAAAGTGACCTGGATTGATTTGTCCACACTGGCACTACCTGTTGATAGTAATTCAGATGGTCGTCTCGTAGCTGATAAAGACTCTGTCATAAACAGAGCTGTAATGAAACCACAGTTAAAGGTAAGTCATCTATCAAATGAAGAAGAAAGATGGCAGGGAGATGGTGAGTGAAAAGAGGAGTCAAGGCCCTTGGAAGCTCCCAAGGGTGCTCTGTCAGCATCACCCTGTAAATCTTGTTTATATCAGCTGAGCTCAAGTTTTCTCCTAAAAGATGGGGAAGCATTTATGTAACAGTGAGGTGGTTTTCCCTAGAATGGCAAAAGGAATTTTGGCTATTTGGTCTTGCAGATGAGATGTATCCAGGTGCAGAAAATCCGTTATATTTGGGACTGTTCTGTAAAAGCATTCAAGAAAGTTGGGTGAGTGTCAACAGTCTGTTACAAAATCCTTTGTGGTAGGAGACTCCCTTGTCTCAACGCTCTCCTGTTACCCTAGATCATTAGAAGACAGCAACACGTGTCACACCATACACCAAAAGTTTGGAGCTGGCCTGACAAGGGAAGAACAGAAGATCAGGTACAGGCTACATATGACTAGATGCATGAGTTAATTATGATAGTGTGACCTGTTAATTCTTCCTTTCAGATTCGCGTGAGCTTTTTGCTACTCTCCTTAGTAGCAAGGCAGTGCAAACAGTATGGGTGACATTTGGAAAGGTGCAAAATCATTGTCCCTCATGTTTTGTTGATTTTTTTCTGTTCTAAGTGGTGACAGGGTAAGTCTGGGGAAACCAGCACTGGTTCCAGCTGGAGTTAAGGGCACAGGAAGACTGGCTTTCTTTGCCATAATCTCCTTAAAAGCACTCCAGAAAGCTCACCACAGGCTTTACCAACAAACTGATTCTTTTCAGCAAGGAAATAGTAAAATTCTGTTTCTGTGTAAAGTCCTCTCAGATGCAGCAGCTTCCTGCTCAGCCCACAGGACTAGATAAATATTAATGTCATTTGGGTGCACAATTTTCCACATGAAGTGTTGCTCTACTTGACTAAGATGTAACATGGGGAACTCTACCTTCCTACAGGCAGCTGGTGTGTGGACCTAATGCCATTGAAGTTGAAATTCGTCCTGTTTGGAAGTTACTTTTTAAAGAGGTCAGTAAGTCAGACCAGCACTTGGTGGGAAAGGTGTAATATTTTTGAAGAATTCTCCTGGGCACTCTGGAATGGGATAACTGGTGTTTCATAAGTGTAATCTGTGTGGGAAGCTGGGTGAATCTCATTTTTGGCTATTAGCACTCATTCCAGGCAGAAGGTTGCAGGGAAGAGTATTGAAGCTAAGAGGATGCTTGGTGCTGCATACCTATAACAGCTCTGTTTTCCTCATGATGATTTCTTCCCTTCCTGGAGAGCAGTAGTGTGGAAGACTGATGTTCTCCTTCTCTCTGTGGGCCTTTTTTCCTCACTGAACATCTCCTGTGAGCTGGGACATCTTGTCCTGTCGCTGAACAGTGATGTGCACCTGGAGAGCTCGTGCTTTTTGCAACTCACCACAGACACATCAGAAACTCGGTCCCTTCACATAGGCTCTTGATAATCTTATTGGTACAACTGAGGCAACTTGTTCCTCTTTAATAGCCTTGTTTTAGTACTCCCAAAGCAGTACAAAGCATTAGAGAAATTCTGCTGCTGGGCTTGCTTGTGGCCTCAACAGCAGCATAAAAGGTGAGTGTGCTCTAGAATGGATGGCAATATTTGCAAAATTCCTGTTTTATAGTTGCTTTATTCATCTGGTAACTTAATTTTCTCCTGTGACATAGACACAAGACGATTTTTTCCCCTGCATAAATAAGGATACACTGAAAGACTGTTCTGCCTTTACAGAGGACAAAACAAACTTATCTTGTGGATAAGAGAAGAGGCATTTATGGATGGTTACTTGCTAAGTTTGGATACAGAAATGCTGGTCATACATTTTTGCCAATCTTTGAGCAGGGGTTTGCATACAAGATACTGTCATGCTATCTGTGTTCACTTCAGTGGACTAAGGATGCTACATGAATGTCTTTAAAATGCAAAAGAGCTATGAATGCTGGGACAAACTAGTATGTGTCTGAACTTTAAGTGGAGTCTGTTTGAAACCCTACAAAATACGTGAAAAGCTCCAGGGCTCCTGAAATAGGTTGGATTTGATGTTACCAACCTTTCAGTGCCCTCTGGAGATGGTTTTGAAGAGAGCTCCAGTGTAGCATTCTAAAAAGTTTATTTAATTTGAATTTTGCACTTCCATCCAAGGCTGAAGCTTCATGCTTGAAATATTAATGGGGGTGCCTGGAGGCAGACTGGTCCTCATGAGTTTGTGGTATTTCAGTCCAGAAACATCTTCAGTGTCCGAAGGCTGGCACCCTGATCTGTCTCTTTGTCCTAGTGAATGTCAAAGAAAGTATTAAATTTTAATTGAGGGACCATATTCATCAGATGAATAATTCATTTCAGTTCCCATCTTTATGCAGAAAGCTCTTTCAGTGGCTATTTTAGTTATATCAGTTCTACAGTAAAGACTGTCACTCCTGCAGACAACCAAGTGGTGGGCAAATCACTGCAAAAATTCATGTTATTCTTTTGTTGTTAGATACGTACCACGGTAACCAAAATTATATTCTCAGACTTCTGTGGAGCTTGTGGCCTGTTTTAGCATAACATGTTGAAGTGAGTGATCACTGGTATTGTAAGGCTGCCATAGTGTAGAGTAGCTGAAAGTATGGAAGTATGAGGAAATCAAGATTTTATTTTAGTTGTAGTCTAAGACTAGTTACTGATGGCCCCACAGCTCATTAATTCTTCTTTATAGTTTTTCTTTTTCCAAATAAATATCATATTCACAGGCAGTTTCTTAAATCACAAAGTATTAAAAGATTGTTATGGTAATTCAGTTTCTTCCTCCCCTCTGACATTTGGTTAGTGTCTCCTGTGCAGCAATTACTTAGAAGTAGCAATGTGAAGGTCACCTTTGTTAGCTGGCTACGGTGCAAAACCAACTGACTTGAAGTCCCTTAAGTCTGGGTTGAAGTTGCCAGCACAGTTGCTGGTGCATAGTAATTGGATAGCAGCAGCTTTCAATAACAAACACCACAAACTACATGTAAGCTGGTAAGTCAGAGCTGGAGGCTATTGACACTCTAAAAGAGCCATGAAAAAATACTGCCTTGGGATGGCAACGCAGCCTTTTCAATCACTTTTTGAGGCTCCTGGAAGAAGTAATGAAATGTTGTCACCTTTTCCCACCTTCCACCTCTCCTGACATGTGTCATGTTCATCCCCTGATGCGTGTTACACTTGTGTTTGCAGATTTTAAACCCCTTCTATGTGTTCCAAGCCTTCACCCTCACTCTGTGGCTGAGCCAAGGGTATATTGAATATTCAATGGCCATTGTAATCCTGTCGATCATTTCTGTCGTATTAACCGTCTACGACCTTAGACAGGTGAGTTTGCAGCACAAGCTGCCAGCTCACCATCCTCCACTCTGCTGGCAATTTCTTCTATCATAGGCAAGAGGAGCTATTTATATGCTTTTTCTGATTATTTTGTGTATTAGGACACATTACTACAGATTTATTACTGTAAAACAATTAAAAGAGTCATACCTGGGGATCTTGGACTTCCCAAGAGTTAAAGAAGACTGGAGTCTGACAGGCAACATTTTGGTCTGGGATTAGCTGGGAATAGCTGGGGCTTTTGTGAGCAGAGCTGTGTTGGCTGTCCATCATGTTTTTGTATCTTTAACTAACACCTGCAAAATGACCAGCACAACCCTGTTGAACAAGTGCTCACAGCTCTTTGAGCACATTTGTACTGGAAGTGTTGGTGTCCATCCTGCTATTGCAGAGCTTGAAGAGCAGATACGGTCCATCAGCTTGCTTTGGCAAGGAAGGTTCTCCTGTGTGGCTGATGATGTTCTTTAAACTGGCTTGACGTCTTCACATGATCAATGTTAATGAAGAAATCTACACTTAGGGATTAGCTTTTTGCAGCTGTAATTTCTAAATCAAGATAAGAGATACTCTTTATTGTCCTTGCAATGACAGTTGACTTCGTCATTGTCTCGGGATATGTAATTGTCTGAATTAGATTGCAAAAACTGGCAAAGCACAAACACCCAGCTAAACTAGAATTTCTGTTTTTCTTCTTGCAATTATTGTAACAATAGCTTTACAGCTTGGATACCCTGTTGATAGGCTCCTAGCAAGGATAAAACTGTGAAGCACAAAGAAACCCCCTCCTGAGGGACCGCGGATAACAGTGTTGCAGCAAAGGAGACTTTGTCTGGCATGAAGCGGGAAGTAGCCCCTTAACAGTAGAGGGAGATACAGTGGCATGAATCAGAAACAAACAGAAAATTAGGTCCATGTTCCCACAGCAGCTTGTTCTAGGTTAACTGGATGAACTCTCATCCTGACTTCTAACAAGCAATGTGAAACCCGCCCTGGATAACTCAGTAGAGTTCAGTTTCTGTGCTGTTAGCTTGATCACTGAATTGTAACCTACTGCTCCACTTGAGTATTGAGTTTCAGCACTGTAATTGCTTTCCCACCAACAGCAGTCTACCAAGCTGCACAACCTTGTTGAGGAGCATAACAAAGTCCAGGTTACAGTCTGCACGAAGAATGAAGGTGAGTCATCTTCTTCTCATTTTCCTCACCAGCCTGTATAATTAACTTATGTGTTGAAATGCATCTGGAATTGCACAGCTCCTGTTGATTTCTACTGCTGAAATGTGAAGGGTGAGCTGCAGGGAGAGTAGGGCAGAGGGAGGTGAGGTGGGCAGGGCAGGGAGAAGTGTGGGCACAGCCTATGAGGTGCAGTAATGATGCATCTGTTTCGTTATCATCTGTACCTCCAGCATCTGTAATGATACAGGTGAACCTTGTAATTTGTGTTGAATTGAGAACAGCTTGGAAAATTTAATTTCACAAACAAGCAACTAGATAACAACTCTGGCCTTCCATGACCTGCTTCCCTGCTCTGCTATAGGCTACTTTCATAATCCTGTCAATACTTTATAAGCAATTTTCAAAGAGTCTAGATACATGGCACCAACAAAGGCATGCACTTTCTTTCCTGTGACTCAGACCCTTGCCCATTAAATAAGGGTTGTAGCTATTTTTGCCTCCTAAATATATTGAGCTGGGCAATTGCTAGAGTGATTTTCTTGGGGTAGGTTTTCTTAGAGTGCTTTATGAACAGCAAGCTGAAGACACCCACTTGGAGAGAGATGTTTAGACAAGGGCTGATCTTCATGCTGTTGTTTTTCAGCCAGTATTATTTCTAAGAAGCACTGGCCTTAAATCATGCAGTGTAGCAGTTTAGTGATGTTGTGTGTACCCTGAGACTTTAAAAAATTGTCCAGAACTCATGCAAAAATAAAGTGGTTTTTTATATATTTTAAAAATGTATTTATTTTTTAATTGTTCTACAGGTTGCAAAGAGCTGGAGTCTTGTTACTTAGTCCCTGGAGACATGTTGCTTTTAGACACAGAAAAGCTCTCTCTCCCATGTGATGCTGTCCTGATTGATGGAAGCTGCATTGTGAATGAAGGGATGCTCACAGGTGCAACCTTGGAGTTTGAAATGTGAAGCCTCTGTGCGGATTCTCTGTCAGGCAGATGTCTTCATCTGTTCTGACAGCAAATTGTTTACTATTTATTAGCATAGTTTGCAGCAGAAGGTGAAAAAAAATGTGGCTTGAATAATTCACTGTTGTCTTGGGCTATTGTGTAATATGCTTTTCTTATCCACATTCAAACCAAGTAGGATTAATATACTTTCAGGAATAGAAAGTTGAAATACTCAGATACACTGAATAGATATTCTTTGAGTTCTGGATTCTGACCTTGCAGCAGTTCTATTTGAGCAGGTGAAGTACAAGCATGAGGTCAGTGTTATACCTGAATATCAAGCCACTACAGGGGCAAAATTTGACCCCAGCCCTTGACACAAAATGCTAGGAGAAACCACCTGTTGTACTCTGAAACTAAAACTGTAATGGCTGTCACCATGAATCCACCTGCGTAAGCACGAAAGCGAGCTAGTTAGTCAAGCAAACTTGAGCACCTAAAGGCTGCTGTCACTTTCTAATATGATGAAATGGATAGACTGTTAAGTCCCCTTTAAGTGAAGCTGCACACTGTTGTTCTTAGGTGAAAGCATTCCAGTTACTAAAACCCCTTTGCCCCACGTGGAGAGCCCGATGCCCTGGAAAACCCACAGCATGGAGGACTATCGGAGACACGTCCTCTTCTGCGGGACAGAAGTCATACAGACCAAGCCGACAGGCAGGGGCCCAGTGAGAGCCGTCGTGCTGCAAACCGGTATTTCTTTTGTCATTTGTTAATGAGCAGGGGGAAAGAAGCAGCAGCCCTGGAAGCTGGCAGGCGAGCTGGTTTCTTTTTGTAGCTCAAGTCTGGCACAGCCCTGGTGTCCCTGAGAAGTGCTTGTTGCCACCCTATGGCTGAGGCTTGTACAATGCCACCTGTTTTTGAACAGCAGCTTGAACAGCAGCAATGAGGTATGAAGTCACTATGTCACAAATGTGTGGCGTGTGTCTTCACACAGGGTTCAATACAGCTAAAGGTGACCTGGTGAGATCCATCCTCTACCCCAAGCCAGTGAACTTCAAACTCTACAGGGATGCCTTCAAGTTCATCTTAGGCCTCTCTGCCATTGGTGTGTTTGGACTCATCTACACTGTGTGTGTGTTCGTGTCCCACAAGGTAGGCACCAGGGAACCCTCCACACTGCAGGTGCCAGCTCTGAGCTCGCAGTCACTCAAGGTCCTTGGAATATTGTTTGCCTCTGTGATTCAGTTTTCAGATGCCGAAGATGGGGCTGGGAGAGAAAAAAACAGAATAAATCTGTCATTCTCAGGGGCAGAGTTTGGGACACATTGCTGCTGGGCAGGAGGGTCTGTCCCCCAGAGTAGTGGCAGAAGGGTGAGGAGGCTCATCCCCCTCCCCATTGCCCCTGTTGCTCTCACTGTTTGCAGAAGCCAGTGGCAGATGTGGTGACTATGGCCCTCCTCCTCCTCACCGCGGCCGTGCCTCCTGCTATCCCTGCTGCCTTGACAACAGGCACTGTTTATGCCCAGAGGAGGCTGAAGAAAAAGAAGATTTTCTGCATCAGCCCACAGAGGATTAATATTTGCGGGCAGATCAACCTTGTTTGCTTTGACAAAGTAAGGTGTTTCCTGGGGCACTGAGAGGTGCTGGGGGTTCCTAGGAATGTGGGGGTTTTGTTTTGATTTGTTTTCCCACTCCATCTACCCTGCTTTATCCCCAGGGATAGAGATGCCCATGCAGCAGGGTCACACTGCAGGCAGGAGGCTTTTCTTACCCTGCCTGGGAGACAGGGCAGGACCTCTGGGGAAATGTGGGGGGAAGGGATGGGCAATAGCAGGATAACTAGATCTTTATTTTACTTTAGACAGGCACGCTGACAGAAGATGGACTGGACCTGTGGGGCATCATCCCTTCTGAGGGAAGTTGGTAAGAAAGGATTTTGTTTCATGAGGACTAACCTCCAGTGTGAATGAACTGCCCCAATGGCTAGTCAGGAGGAGGCAGTTGCATAGGATATAGAGAGGCAGCATTTGCTGTGCTATTTAGAGCATGGCCAGAGATGTTGGGGTGTGTCTGGGGAGGCAGAGTGCCATGGGTGGCCATGCTCAGCTCCTGCCCTCCAAAGAGAGCATTTGAGTACTGCAGGTATAGCCATAAAGGTCGTTGCTAATTCAAGACAAAGAACAGCAGCATGAGAGCTTTTAATTACCCTAAAGGGATTTGGAGAATGTGCACAAAGCTTTTCAGTTATGTCATTCACAGCACCATTCAATAAATATTCTTAATCTAGTCAATAAACCTTTCATCATTAAATGTTAGGATAATGCTCCTCCTGTTGAAATTAAGTGTTGCCAACTGTGGTGCCTGTTGAATCTCACCTACCTTTTGTAAATGCTGTGAAAAATCTGTGAGATCTCAGATCAGACTTGAAAAGCTCAGGTGTCATTAGGGACTTCCTTAAACCCATGGCAGGCTCAGTTTTAATTCCAAGCCCAAAGACCACAGAAATCTTCAATAAATAACCACAATATGAACATTAAACTTGACTATATCCACAATTATACTGTTTAATTCCTGTTACTATGATACAGTAACAGACTTCAGCTCTGCAGTTCCTGTTATGCTAAACTCAAATTATTAATCTTTTGCAGTGGTCAGGACAAATCACACTCCCCATATCTACTCCCAGGTTTTCATTAGTAGTTGTTAATACATCAGATACTTCAGCACCACAGAGATTACCATGCTGTAATGAATGAAAGGATGAATTCATTATGAGTGGAGAAAAATCACTTTCCAAATACTTCCTCAAAGGACAGAGAGAAAATTACTATCTGATGCACATTAATGAGAAGAAATTAATAAGTGTCAACCAATAAAATACTCTTCCAGTGGGGCCAAACTGCAGGCACACGGTACAATCTCTTCTTGGCCCTTCTCCAGTGCAGCAGGGAGTCCACACTGATTAGGTGCATGTTGAGCAGGCTGGGAGGCCACCAAAGGCAGACAGCTCATGGCAGTGCCAGGGTGATTTCCACCCAAGTAGCCTTCCAGGTAGTGTCTGCTCACATAAGCAGCAGAGCAAAACTTGATCCATATATCAGAATAAATTAATGTAATAAAAAGAGAAGTCTTCTGCAAGGTCTCAAAATGTAAAGCTCTCTTTGCAGACATGTCCAATCTGCACCCAGCTGGGAGCCAGTGCTGGTGTCTGGCCAAAACGCAAGGAGGAGCTATTGCTGCCTGCATTGATCTCATTACCCTATTTGCATAATTACTTTCTTAAATATTTACATTTTAAAATACAAGCCTCGGTGTCAGCTAAGCTGGGTCCTGCAAGGCAATGACAGTAAAGGAATTTCATTCAACTTACAAAATATCCTACTGTATGTTTAATAAGATGTAAATGTTTGTAGATTTTATGTGATGTTTAGCAGTTTCACCGTGTCTCTTCAGTATTCATTAATAAGCCAATTATGACCAGGCTGAGGAAAAGGTATAATTTGCTAGAAACAGAACAGACTTTGATGGCCCAGAGGGACAACAGGTCCTTGTTCCTTTATTTATTACTCCTTTTAGCAGAGCTGCAAGCTGTCAGGCTGCTCGCTTCTAGATTGATTTCACTGTGCCTGTGTTAGTAACAGGGGATACTAGTGGTGATCAAAGGTAAATAAAATCTATTTAAATTTCCCCTTAACATACCAGCCTAAATGACTGTGGGCTGTGTTGTGATCTGGTAGACAGAGCTTGTCAGCCAGCCAGTTTCTTAGATTAGAATGTGTGTGTGTGTGAGAAGAGAGGACTGAGAAATAACTTCCATGATGAAATAACAGAGCTTTCACCAAGCCCAGCCTTGCATGTGTTGAGTCTGTACTGCAGTGCCAATCAGGGAACAAACCTCAATGCTGTCCACAGAAAGAAATTGGGGCATGAACCTTTGACATTGCGCATGATGTAACTCAACAGAGTCAACCAACTTACCCACCTTTAAAATCAAGGTGTGAGAGAGATTCCTGCATTCTCCAATAGTGTCTTCTCTGTTTTGTTTTATGCCAAACAGCAATTGCCAAGCAGAACTCCTGTGCCAGTCCCCCCTTTATCATCTCAGTTACTTCACATCAAGTTGAACCCGTGCCAATTAATTATTTAGTACTTTTTGGCCTCCTGAATGCGTGTGACCTGTTAATCAGAAAGATGGGTAGGACAGCATGTTGCTTGAGCTACTGGGCTCAGCTGCACTGAGCACAGCAGAGCAGCATCTGTATGCACCAGCTGAGCACTCGTTTCTCTGCATCACTCTTATAAACGGTCCCACTAACCTTCTGCTTTTAATCAGTTTCCAGAAAATCCATAAGTTCCCATCCAGCACTCCTCTGCCCTGGGGGCCTGTGTGCGGGGCCATGGCGAGCTGTCATTCACTGCTTGCTTTGGATAAGAAGATCCAGGGAGATCCGCTGGACTTGAAAATGTTTGAGGGCACAAACTGGGTAATGTGACTCCCAGCCTCTGCACATATCCAAGGCATGGACACCCCCAACCCCCGCCTGTGAGGTTTTACTCACGAGTCAAGCTCAATTACGTGCCTGTAGAGGAAACTCCTTTGCAGTTCTGGTCGTAACAGCTGGGATTTGCTCCTTTATTTCTTCCAACCTCAGGGCAGATTTGCAGCACTGCAGCTGTTTTTTGATAGTACTGCAATCCTTTTCCTTGGGGCTGCCTGCATTTGCTCTCTTAATTTGATTTGGAAACACTGGAGTGTAAGGAAGCGGGGCGGGGGGGAGCCTGGCTGGTGTGGTGCCATTGGCCATGTGGTGCAGAGAGCACAAGGCAGGCAGGGAACACCCTGGCAGGTTTTTATGGCCTTTGCTGAAGCCTGTTATGTCTGATTAGCAAAAGGACATCCCTAGGAGGAAACCAAGGCTGGAGCCTCAGGCTGAGTGAAAAGCAAGTCTCAGAGAGAACTGGGAGCATATGAGAGATTGAGTCCTGGGGCTCATCTGAAGGGTTAGAGAGTTTCTTGGGTGGGAGCTGAAGGGGAGGAGGCACAAAAAGGAAAGGGCTGCTCTTCTACCTCCTCTTCATCCTAGCCTAGAGGGGTTCTGGGTCTTCACAGTTAATTGCTTCACCATCTTTCTCCTTCAACCTTTTGTTTAAGAGAGATTAATCAGTAAGTAAAACTGGTGACAGCTCCTCCAGCAGCACTGTGGGAAAGCACCAGGTTAGTGTCACTCCTGTGGAAGAGTTGGCAGCAGCAGAGCCACATGATGGCAGAAGGGGACTATGAGGGTGAATGGGCCTCGGCAGTGTGTAAGAGAGCTGGAGAACTAAAAGCACCCTGCACTGAAAATTGCCACTTGTTTCTGCACAGAACATCAGTGAGAGGTTTTTAAAAGCAGGAGACTAGAAGATAAAACCAGGTAGAAAAAGATAATTATTTATTTTTCCCTTCATCATTGATATGACTTTAAATGTATATGAAACTGGAGTTTAGAGAAACCATGAACTTTTGACACAGGTTTTTACTCTCATGAAGTCAAAAGATGCAGGGTCATGTAGGTTTCTGCAATGGACAAGGCTCCAGAGAGGCTGTCACTGACCATGGAGAGGGAGATGTTAGATCACAGCAAAACACTTCTTTCCTGCAGTAAGGGGGAAACCATGTGCTGCTGCCCCTGCTTTAACAGGCTGGTGGGGAGCAAAGGGGAAAAAAAAAAAAAGGTATCAGAAAGAATGTTTTTCCTTGTACAGGAGCTAGATGACTCTAGCACAGCTCAGCATGTGGCTGGTGCTCTCAACACCTGCATCGTTAGACCGGGGCCAAAGGCCAGCAGTGTAAGTCCAGTTTTTTTCTGAGAATTAATATTCTGTGTTTTCAATCTGCAGCATGTGCAAACTCCTAGCACGTGCACTGTTCATTTACCTGGGCTGGAGGTTACCAAACGTCTTTCAACCACACTTGGTACTCTGTTGCATCTTCTCTCAAAACACCCCAGAAACACAGGACCAGAAATCAAGTTTTGATTAAAGTGGAGATGCTGCTCTGAAGTGACATCTAAAGCACTTCATGGGCCTTAAAAACATCTCATTTCCAGCTCCATTCTTTGTGTTAATAAAAAGTACAGACTTCTCTGAGTCTGTAAAGCTGCTGGCAAACTGAAACTACACAACCAGTTCAAGTGGAAACTAATTCAGATAAACCATGTACATAAAGCATGAGTTCAGCTGCAGGAGGAAGCAACATGAGTAAGAACAAGGCATTACAGCTAGAAGCACAGACATGGGTCCATGAGTCCTGCTGGTAATTGTCGTGCAACCTCACTAGCAGATTTATCAGCATCACACCAAAGAACGGTGTTGTTTGCCTCACTCTTCCTCTTAAAAGCACACTTGGGAAGCACCAAGTTTTGACAAATGAAAATTGTTACCTTTCCAGTCCAATGTTGAATCAGCCAGCATCCTCCCAGTGCATGGAGTGTGATTTCTGCCAGCAATACTGGGAATACAGTGCTGTGGCAATGAGGAAATCAACCTTGTTTCTACATTTGCTCTGTTCCTGTGGTTATGTCACTGTAAGACATCAAATTTCAGTTCCTAGGACAGTAAACGCACAAATACTATATTAATATATGGTTTTTAAGAGAAAGAGTGGGACAAAGCTCAGAAACCACCTAAATATAAATAAAAACATGGAGATTCCTGAAAAGTACACTGGGAAGACAGAGTTGTTGAGGCTGTGATTCCTAAACTTGTGATCAGTGATCTGATCCCATAGCCAGAAGGCAGCAGAAGTGAAATCATCTATTAATAATAAATCACCTTAGCAAGAAAGACTCAAATGAGCTACAGTTCAGAATGGATTTGCTTTGTATAGTCAATGACTCTAACATTTCACTTTCCTGCCCTCTCCAGGCTCCTGTGGAAGGAATAGCAATCCTACATCAATTCCCATTTTCTTCTGGGCTGCAGAGGATGTCTGTTGTTTCACAAAAGATTGGAGAGGAGCAGTATGACCTGTACGTGAAAGGAGCACCAGAAATAGTGTCCAGCTTTTGTAGACAAGAAACAGGTATAGAATTGGGAAAGAGCAATTTTGTATGGTTCTTTATGTGGCTCTAATCCTAAAAGGTTTTCAGTGCTCACTCTTCACCACTGGCCACATTGCAGCTGTGTGTGGATGACTTTGTCCACAGGCAAGCCTCAGGCTTGTTAAATGTCATTACTTAATAGAACAAAAAAAACTTTCATTGCTTGTTTGTAGGTTAGAGATGCACAGCCTGAGGTTCAACCTCTGTACAACCCTTAGCTGACTTGCATCAGCTGAACACACAGTGCACAAAAAATGTTGATGTATCAAAGTACCCAGAGCTGATGTAGGATCATGGTAATTGCATGTGCCAGAGCAAGTGTGTTGTGCAGCACAAATTCTTAAATTTCCTGCTTATTGCCCTATAAATTCAGCATTGAGTTACTAACCCGGCTTGCAAAAGTTTTAAATATCAGTGATGGAAAACTTGCTGTGGACATGCAAATTATTGTTATTAAGGATAATTGGTATTAACACTCAAGCCAAAACTTCTGTCCTCTCTCTGCAATTAAACATAGGGCTTTTCTTTTTTGTATGTGAACATTATTATAGGCTTATACTCAAATTTGTCTGCAAACTTGAAACTCAGGTCACATTCACTGGATACTTCAAAAGGATGCCAGGCAAACACAGTAGCAATGGTTTGTGGCTCTTTGGTTTGTTATTTCAGATGGAACTGACCTGAAAACAGTTTTTGAGGGACAACAGAAACATTTTGTTTAGAACTCCCTAAGAGCTAATGAAACAAACCTTCAGACAAGTTAACGTCAGCAGG